TGCTCAGAAATTTAACTAAACCTTTAGACTTAGACAAAAGGTACCTCAATTTTTATACGTTTCGGAGAACGTTTGCCCATTTTCAAGAAATTCTGTACTTATTTGTTTTTATTTTATAAAAAACAAAATGTATTCTCCTCTAAAAAAAATCATTAGAACTTTACTGGCCTATTTGCTTATGTTTTCTGTCTTTTCGTCATTATTAAATAATATATTGTCCAATTTATTAATGCAATCTTGTCGAAATCTCTACACCGACTAACAAAGTCTTTTGGACACTTAAACAACACACTAAAAAAGTGTAAGGAATAGCAAAAGGGCATATTAGGACAATCGACTTTTCCTAAAATAGAGGTTACAATTAAACCTTAAATCGCCTGCGGCAACCGTAAGTTAAATAGACCTCTATTGGTTGATGTTTAGCAATTTAGTTTCAGGAACGTTAGGTTTTTTTCTATCCAATGAGTATCTATGTTATTTTTTTATAATCGTTTTGTCGGAGGAAAAAACATTAAATCTTTGAAACACATTAGTAAAATTTCTAAACAGAAGAACAATAAAGTAATATTATAATACAATTTCTTGAAACTATGCATTTAATTTACGTAAATTTCGAATGATACTGACTGGATCTCAGTTATTTGCTTTTAGAAATGTAGCTCGTGCTCTTTATAATTTTATTATTTGTTAGGTTATTTTATAATTAAAGAGTATTAAAATTTTAAAATAAAAGAAAATTATTAGAATTAGTTAAAACACCAGATTACTAGATTTTTCTAAAAATGAAGGAATGAATTTATTTCAAATTACCTACGACAAACGCCCGACCTCTCACTATGCATATTCAAAAATTTTAATTGCTATTAATTTTATTATTTAGCTCTTTTGGGGTCAAAGCATCTTACAATTTGTCTCAGTATTTTAGGTTAGCTAAATTTTTGGTTTTGTGTAATTCAATGAATTCTAGTGTTTAATTATACAAAATGATCCTTTTTTATAAAAAGTTGATTGTTTTTTCTACATCAAAATAAAGAAAATTCTATATTCCTTCAATATATTTTGTATGATTATTTTTAATAATTAATAACACTGACATAAAGTATAAGATTTAAGACTTACGTTTTTAGTAAGCAATTTAGGTTTTAGTTAAGTATACACATAAGAATCTATGCGACTTTAAATTTTATTGTTAATAAGTCTCATTTATTGTTTTTAAGAGATAATTTTATACTTAGGAACAATGATATTACACAGCAGTTAAAAATTATATTTAGCATGCGGTATTTAAATATCTGGGTTGTAGAGTTAGAAACATATTTTTGGGATTTGTTGGGTTTATTTTTTGTTTACCTTGCATCAAATTTACAACTGTACAGAAATGTTAGACTGCAATATTCTTTACAACTATACAGAAATGTTAGGCTACATTACGATTTACATAAGCTTAAGCAAATATGACTTAAGTATAGACTTAAATTCATACTTCTGAATACTGAAATTCTTATTTTCTTAGGGCTAAAGTTTCCTACATAACGTACAAATTTGGACGTAATTCATTATCGATAACGGGTAGGCCACAGACTATTTCTGTTAAGAAATCTAGTTCATTATCTCAGATGATTTACTCATTCAACTGAATATAATCTTAAATATTTAAATGAATATATTCTCAAATATTTTTCCCCAGTTAAAAGCGTAATGGTACTTTAAATAGCTTTATAATGGATTTTAAAGTAGATAGCTGTGCTGGCAGTTCTATGCTAATTTCGATTAATTTTTCCATTCCATGAATTTTATTTTTCTTAGAAAAGATACTTTTTTTGTTTTTATAAGTATTTTAAAGAAATTTCTGTGTTTCACATATTAAAATATTATAATAATTTAACCCGTTAAAATTTTTAAATATCCAAAAAACACAGTTGCGATTGGACTTTTATAATAGATTTCTCCTAAAATAAAAAAGTAAATTTATATTTGAATTCATGACGGCGGCAATCAGACCACTTGCTATTTGTATTTAGCAATTTAGTTGAAGTTATATAATTTCATGGTTAGTACGTTAATAATTGTGGTTTTACATATAATAATCTTAAAATTTGTTGTAAAATTTATTGATTGATAATTAAAGCTCTGCTGCAGTTACTTTAACATTCTGATTCTCAGGCGGTCACCAATAACGTTTTTTTTTTTTTTTTTAAATTTAACTAACGGGGTTGATAACCTACTAGTTTTACGCCTTACTTATATGAACGTTACTTATGATGGTGTGAAAAAAAATCAGAATCCGAAATTATATAAAACAATGTATAATCTATGTATGTATCAGGCTTTTTTTTTTTTAATAGGAATTTAGTTGGTTTGATTTAGCGCGTTATATTATAAAATTTAGTTTATACTATTGGAGTTTTTTATAATTTACACATTAACAGCTGTGAATTCATATTAATGTAAAAAAAAAAAAGTTGGATCCCAATATAGAACTCTACGAGAAGTCTGTAATGCTATACACTGGTTGATTTTAAATGTGAAGAAAGTTCATAGGATGCTCCATATTATACTATTAGGAAGTATATTACCTTCGAATATGCCCGTTTTTCTAAATATATGTAGTGGAAAAAAGCTGCCATTATAATGTCTTATTATTAATAAAACCGATTGACATTTTTAAATCGACGTTTCGAAGACCTCCATCTTTAGGGCTCCACTTTTTAATAATTATTGCACATTGTTTTTAATTTTTTCCAGATATAAAATCCACATAAAAAAATTAGTCGTAAAGAATGAAATAAAGTACTTTTTTTTTTTACATAACCCTATTCTGGGGAATTATATTGGCTTCATACCTAAGTTACACATATCTTTTATATCAATTAAAATATTCATAGATATCTAAAAAAAAATATATTTTAAATACCTAAAAGTAAGAAAGAAAGAGTGATAAATTGTAATAGGACTCATGTATTAGGTTTTAATAAAAAGAAAAAAAAAATTATACTTGAAATACTGACGGTAGCGATCAGATCAATGGCAATTTTTATTTAGCTATTTGATTATTTATCCTTTAATAATCATATTTCAAAATGTAATGCTCTTATATTTATACATCGAATCTTAAATAGATTTATAATTGAAGCTGCGCTGATATTAAACAATGGATTCAACAACAACAATTAAACAATGGATTGGAAGTTTTTAATAAAAAGAAAAAAGAAAATTTAGACTTGAAATACTGACGGCACCGATCAGATCACAGGCAATTTTTATTTAGCTATTTGATTATTTATCCTTTAATAATCATAATTCAAAATGTAATGCTCTTATATTTATACATCAAATCTTAGATAAAATTATAATTTAAACTGAGCTAAAATTAAAAGGATTTTAATACTAGCACTTTGGCAGTCTTTAAAAAAAAATTAAATATAAAAGTTCATTTTTTTTAGGCTTCATTCTTTATCAAAATAAAAAAAAATAATTATTTCTACAATAATATCTTTAGTATAAAAAATACGATTTTTCTATATCTGGAAATACTCTCTAGAAACTATAAAAAATTCTGATTCCTATAATATATTAAAGAATAATTATTTATGTATAAACTAAACGTTTAATTATAAGATTATTTTAAAATAGCATTTTAGTCCATTAGCGTTCGAAATTTTGGTTTATACAATTGGAGTTTTTATAATTTACGTTTTATAAAGCTATGAATTTATACTAATATAAAACTTTTAAAAAAAATGTGTTCTACGCGAGGAAAAATTCGATGCTGTATAATTTTATTATTGATAATTTCATATTAATTATAATTTTATTATTAAGAGCTATTTATGTAATATGATGTTAATTTCTATCTATCTCGAAATACTCTCTAGAAACTATAAAAAATTCTGATTCCTATAATATATTTGAGAATAATTATTTATGTATAAACTAAATATGAATAATAAGATTATTTTTAAATAGCAGTTTAGTCCATTTGATTTGGCGTTCGAAAATTTGGTTCATAAAATTGGAATTTTTATAATTTACATGAAGATATAAATTCATACTAATATAAAAAAAATGTGTTCTATGCACGGAAAAGTTCGATGCTGTATAATTTTATTATTGATAATTTTATATTAATGATAATTTTATTATTAAGAGCGATTCAAGTAACATGATCTCAATTTATTTCTTCTCCTAAAAATGTTTTTTCTGTATTTTAATATTTTTTTATAATTAGGGTGAGCGTACCAGTTATAGACAGGTGACTTAGTGATGGACAGGTTGGGCTTTAAATATAAATAATAAGCTTCCTTGTTGATTTAAAGGTTATAATTTTTTTCCAGATTGAAGAACAATGCCCTCTATTCACAACTGTATGAACAATGTTCCCAAAAGAAAATTTTAAAATGCCTATCGTTGTTGTTTTTATACAGCTCTTGAGATCAGCGTGTTTTATGCCATCCTACTAACAGTTCTGCTTAGACTAAGTTTAACGTGTTATCTAATCATTAACGTTATCTTTATAGTTTAATAAACATTTTAGATTTTTTTCGAGTTATGTCCATTACTGGTATCGGATCTCTGTCCATTACTAGAACAATTGTATTTCGTTGTGTCCATCACTAGTGCAAAAAGATTATTATTTTTTTTTTTAATGGAGATTATATCTGCATAACTGAATATTTTTTTTTTCAATTTTGAAGAATTAAATAAAAAAAGAGCGTTAAATAAAAGATGGAGAAGTTTATAACTATAATAATTACGACGGCATAAGCCAAAAAATATAAAAAATATCCTTAGCTATGTGTAGCACCATCACTGGTGCCCTCAACACTGATCTATATTTTACCTTAAAATGAAGAATAATGAATATATTATTTTTTTTTCTATTGATAAAAATATAAATATGATACAGTTTTTTATTTTATTTTATTTTTTATTTACCTACATGTACCTTTAAGTGAAGAAATATATTTTTAATTATAAAATACCTCTATGTACAATACGTATTAATAATGTTTGCTATCGACCCACCCTTGTAGGGGAAGGCGAACGCCTGGAAGACGACGATCGCTAGGATGAGGATGACGGCGAGGTGCCCAGGTGCCTTCATAACGACGTCTGCCACCCGCGGGCCTGCTCAGCGCTGTATATAGTCCCCTCCAGCGCACGCTCTCTGCCCTGCAACACGTCCGTATATCTCATTACCTGTCTTCATACCCACGTATCATCAAATTTTTTAAAACAACTCTTCATCCCTTATTAATATATATACAACTTTCTTTAATGGTAGAGAATCTACTTAAACTCTACGACATGAGCCTGTATTTACTCAATATTACTCTCATAATTCTTTAACCTCTTTTATTTCTTGAATACTTTGCTTCCCACAAGCGTAGTTCGTAAAAATTATCTTCTATAAACTTCATATCTTCTAAATTCTCATTTTTTTTTTTAATATCTTAACCTGACTATATGAGCTTATTACTAATCAAGATGATCTTGGCTTTAGTTGATGAAAAATTAATGCAACCCCTGAAAAAGTGGATGACGTATCACCAGGAAAAGCATCGCATTGTTCTGTACTGGGTCCGCATTAAAGCTATAAATATGCAGGTAATTAAAAAAGATGAAAAACAAAAGCAGAATAATTATATGATGTAAACCTATCATTCACGAAATCTCATTTACTGAAACGAAACGAAATGAAAAATAATTTTATTCTGGATCTAAAGTTCCCTTAGAATAATAACGAAGATAATACAATATAATATCAAGAAATATGTACATCAGTCTGACATGTAGAAATAATACAAATATATAAAAAGATACAAACAAATAAAATTTTTGTTATCAATTAGGTGTTAGTAATAATTTAATTAAATAACCTGGAAGATGGCCTTGTGACCTTCTAAAATAGAAATATAATTGGACTGCTACAAATGGATAGTTTCTCTTCATGTAATACATGTTAAGTTACATATTTCATATTTACTAGTTGTATTTATCATTTAATACAGTTGTAAATTTCAATAATAAAAAAATAAAAAATCCTAAAAATGATTACAAGCTTGCCAAAGTTCAAAACGATGGCCGTAAGACAGAATCTCTTACAGTTTGATTGGGACGTTCTACCTTATTCTCCGTATCCTCCAGATCTAGCCTCATCCGATTATTACTTGTTTCTTCGTTAAAAAATTCTCTACGTAATAAATTTCACAAATTCGAAAGCGAAATGAATGAATTAATGAAAACGCACTTCGATGAATACTTTGCAAGTAAATCACGGACTTTTGAAAAGAAGGACTAATGAGGCTAGGAGACGGAAGAAGATAATAGAACGAAACGATTCGTATATAACACAGTAAATCAACTTTGAACAACAAATAAAAAAAAGGAGAAGAAACTTATGGGTACAAAAAAAATAGTAGAAAAAATGATTAAAAAATTGGAAAAAAAAACGGCAACGGGCGGGATCTGGGTTCAATTTCTAAGTCAAGAAAAAGAAGGACCAATAAAACATCTAATTACAGATCGGCAAGATGACACGAACGAGGCTAAAAATCAGATGGGTTGATCGAATTAACAAATATGTTACAGAAATGCAAGCAGCAAACTGGAATGAAATCACAGGCGAATCTACGGGGAGGGAAGGGGCTTTCAGGCTGAAGTCCGCTCCCCAAAATAGTAAAATGTAACTATATTTTATGAAAACAATATTAAAAACTTATCTATTAAAGTATTATTCTTCGTGTAATTACATTTAATAGGACTTTAAGAATCACTTAAGCACCATTTCATATAGGTAGTTAATATCTTTATTTTTTTTTCAAAGTAATTATCGTTTTATATATATATATATGAAAGAAATTATTTAATTATAAAAATAGTTCCATGTTTTTCAAATTTAACTTCATAGGTCTCTTGATTTAACAAAAAAAAAAAAAAAAAAAAAAAAAACAACCTAATAGATACATGATGGTATTGACAATCACGTTCACATGCAATGACAGACCAGAGATAAGAATACCTAGCTATTTATGTCTGCAGGATTTAATATTTTATTTGAATTAAACTGTTCGTAATATCGAATGGACTTAATTGAGATAATATGTTAAATTTTATTGATAATTATAATTAAGAGATAACACATAGTGACTTCCTAAGTAAAATGAATTAATAGGTCTATTACCATTATATACTATGTAAAATATGAAAATGACAATAAAAAAAAATAAGTTTTTTCAATTAAAAATAGGAATCCTGAGATCATTGTTTTCCTGTAACACTGTTATTCTTAAGGGACTTCGTCCCAGAATGAATTTATTTTTCTATCTATCTATCTATCTAGGTACTGAGACACAGGTGCGTAAATAGGAGCGACAAGGAAGTAAATGCCCCGGGTCTCGACAGGCCTCAAATTGAAGCCAGTAATTTTTACCTATACCTATTACCTATACCTATACCTGTACCTATACCTATACAGTTATTCATACCTAATTTAAAAAAAAATCAGTATCTATTTCCCAATTAAAAAATAATAAATTAAGATTATTCTCTTCTGACACAAGTGGCGTACTTTAGTAAGTGTACCAAATTTATTTATTAATTTATTCGGTTGATTCTTCCCCTAAGCGTCATTTGCTAGTAATTTAGTAATAACTTCACTTTTTATAATTACATTTATTTTGTTTTCATTCAAAGGATAATGTTATTTATTTTAGGAAACATTTTTATTTTTTTTAAATTTAATTAATGTTTTTTTAGTAATAGTGCATCAGATATCAATATTCGGAACATTTCATCTGATCTAGGTACTTTATTAATAAGTTTAATAATTAACATTTTACTATGTATAAAATTAACATCATTATTAGGTATAAAATACAGCCACATCAAATATACTTAACACGTTGGCTGCGGTTACGGTCCCCGGGGTTCCGATATTCGTCTCGACTTCGGACGGGATTGTTTCGAATTTTGCCCATCCTACAAGGTCTCTTAAATGGTATTTGGTGGTAAAATATTTGAATGGCAGTTGGATAGATGTAAAGATAGATACAAACCTAAATAATTATTATATCTGATATAAAAATATCAGATGTCGGGGGCCCTAACCGCAGCTAACGTGTTAATTGATATTTTTCTAAACGAAACCACTTAATTTGTTATGATAATGTAAATAATATAGCAAATATATTTTACTGAACTAATCCGGATTTGTTCTCTAATATTTTTGACTTATAAAATTTCGTTGTGAATTAAAATTATTGGGCTTTATTAAGGTAACAACCTTGGTTTTATTGACGATTTTTGAATATACTACAACTTGAGTATATTAAAATTAAAAATCTGGTATATCCACTCCCACGACTTTTCTACCTATTTCAAAAAAGTTTTTATATCTTTAAATATATCCATTAAGAAAAAAAATTGAATTAGATTTATTTTCCTGAAAATTGATCAAAGAAAATATTTGAGTACGATTTCTTTGATGAAGTAAAGCAATGTAAACCAAAAAATTCAATACCCTCAAATATTTCTAATCAAAAACTTTTTTTCCTTAGCCTCAAATTGTTAAACAATAATTTCTGTTAAAAGTAGAAAGGAAAGTGAAACTTGTGTGATGCGGACAACAGATTTCCTTACTTTTCTTTTTTCTCTCTCATTCACCCCTTCCTGACACCAGAATATGAACCTGTAATCTAACATACGAAATTGAATAGCTGTAACTTCGTTAATAGTTGTCCGAAATGAACGATTTTTATATAATTTAGTAGTGAATTTCACCACTTAAAAAAAAAACAGGCTAAACAGTGTTTATGGCACTCAATTTGTGTAACAGGCATCAGTTGTCAAAACCTTACAAAATAAATAAAAGAAGCAACAAAATCGGTCCATTAGTTTCCGAGATAATTTTGGCACAGACAGACAGACAGCCCTATGGCTGAAAATATGTTCTTGGACTCAGGGGGCTCTGACACTTATAGATCCGTCGAAAACCGCATGCCGGAAATTTGACCCGATCGCAATACTTTCCTTAAGGCTCGGTCACACAGAACGCGATCCGACGTTACGTTACAATAACGCGCGATACTCACGGCGATAACTAATCCGGGGCAGTCACACAGAGAGCGTTACTTTGAAAGCGATACAGCAGCCCCGTCGCTCTGCCTGGCCTAGTCGACTAGAGAGCCTGCTTCCCGCAACTTGTATATTAATAATTTGTTTTCGGTATTTTTCTTATTCATTTTTTTGAATAGAAAATAAGTGATTCTGACGAGGAGGCTCATTAGTTTAGCTCTTCAGCATAAGGTAAAATAAAAAAAAAGAAAAAGGATTCATGAAATCAAAAAGCACATAGACTGATTGGTAGAATACCATCGCCTCGGCCGTCTGCTTCAATCTTACGAAGATAGATTTTTTCAATATTTCCGAATTTTATTTTTGCTTTCTTTACATTTATGTTCTTTTTTAAACATAGATTATTTTATTATGAAATTATGATTGAATGTTTTGTATATCGCAAGATTATTTCATGTTTTCAGTGATTTTTTAATCTAATTTCATTAAATGTATTTGATTTAATGACTTATTTATTGTATATATATTATTTTTCTGTATAATTTATTTTATTTATTGTATTTATCTCTGAACACTATTATAAATGTCCTTTGAAACAGATTGTAATATTTTTCAATAAATAAGTTAAATAGAATAAAAAATTTAATGAAATTAAATACCAAGCATTTCGGCCAAAATTAAGTTGTTTCTTTTGTACTATTTTGTTATTCTAAAGGGACTTCGTTCCACAATAAAGTTATTTTTCTATTCTATTCAAGAGGGTTTAACAATCGTGATTTTATTCATATGCTTTAAATAATCAGGAACTCTAATTTTAAATATATGTTGATTTATATTGTCTTGATCGTTAAATAATAAATATTTGGGTCTTTTTACATAAGTATCGCCAGTAACTTTTAGTAGAAAAACAGTTATAATCTCATATGTCATAAATGAATAATTTTTTTTTAAACATTAATACTAGAAAAGCAGATAAACACAAAACTGGTTAACTTTATGGAAAACAAATATCGAAAATTTAACTTAATTTACACCTCTACATAGTTTTACCATTTTTAGAAAGGTAAAATTTCACATCATGTACTCGGAAAGATTTCATTTTCTGAGTAATATTAGTTTCTCCTGCATCATTTTGATACCCTTTAATTGTGATGAAAGAATGTTACTTAAGTTTAAGAAGTGCATTAAAATTTCAAACGCTCAATAAAATAATATGTTCATAATTCAGGTTATAACTTCATTTAGGTTTAACTGAAATTCCTACATTATGAAAGTCTTATAAAAAATATATGGTGTTTATGACTAATGATCCTTAGCAGAACTTTTATTTTATTTTTATTATTATCATTTTTTCATTTTTAAAGTTCATTTATTTATTTTATTATTATTATTTTTTTAAAGTTTATTTATTTTATCTTATTATTAATATTTTAAGTGTATTTATTTTATATTAATTATTTATTTAGTCTTTTTGGTTTATTATTTTC